TCACTCTGCGAGAGAATTAACCTCTGGCGAGAAAATACCTAATAAACGGAGCGTTCTACATTTATTAAAAAAAACACAGATTGCATAGGCTTCAAACGTAATGTTATCGTAAAATATAGATTCTGAAGTTGCGAGTTTTATCAAATTGACACAGAAAGTTGCCTATAAAATGCAAGATTCTCTGAATTCAAACCTGTATCAAGCAATTATCCTGAGGACATAAATGAATTAATGGTTCAAAAAAGAACAGCTAGATAAAAATCGCAAGAGGCGATAAAGTGATTGTGAATGGCAAGAAGACCATAAAATGATTTTGAAGATTTTCTCAAACACTCAATAAAAGCAGAAAATTTTAAATCAGTATCATACGAGAATTATATACGTATGGGCAACTAAAGAAACGAATTAATCGTCGAATAAAGAAACGAATTAATCGTATAAACCGATAAAGCGAATCCCCCCACTGAGAAAAGCAGATGGAACGTGGTCAAAAAGCAATAGGGCTAAAGCTAAACTATTTGCGAAATCACAGGGAAAAAATTTTTTAACCAAATGAACTGAATTGCAGTCTTTGTTTAGTAGAAGATTTTGATATGCATGAGTGCACAATAGCTTTATTTAATAAAAAGAATTTTGCCAAACGATAAAGTCGCTTAGACCGAATAAACCAGGTTTTTATCTTATTACTGCTGAAATATTAAGAGAATTGCCGAGAAAGGCATTGAAATTTTTGAAAGTTGTGATAAATGCAGCAGTTAACCTGGGTTAGTTCCTAGTCCTGGGAAAGTAGAGGAAGCTATCATGAGGCCAACTTATATAGACCGATTTTTCTGCCACCAATGATATCAAAAGTTCTAAAAAAAATTGTTGTTAACAAGACTGATGCAAATAATAGAAAATAAGAAATTGATCAGATAGCCATCAGTTTGGTTTTAGAAAAAAGTGTGCAACAATTGACCAAACACAATAAAAAAAATATTGTGGAAAATACGTTTGAAGAAAGGCAAACACGTTGGACAATATTTCTGGCCGTGGTTCAGGCGTTCGATAAGGTCTGGCACGACGGTGTATTATTTAAACTTAGAAAATTGATACTTTGCAATAAGTGGAGTTCATTGAGTCGTATTTGTCTGGCAGGCTTTTCTGGATTAATCAGAACGAGGAGTACTCTACGCTTAGGAAAATTAATGCTGGTGTGCGTTAAGGTAGTATTTTGGGTGCTATGTTATTTATGCTTTATCCAAGCGACTTTCCAGATTTTGAGGGCGTAACTTTGCCGACGATGCAGCAATATTTGCAGTGGGGCCTAATGTTGAATAATCGACAAAAAACTTATAGGAAGCAAGTGACAATATAAGTAAATGGACAATACATGAAAAATAAAGCTAAAAAAATCAATTGAGTTTGAATGATGCTTAAAAACACAGCGAAACACCTAGGTAATACTTTGGATGTCAAGTTCAGATGGAAAGAATATGTAAAGATGAATAGAATAGAATGAGAAAACAAATATCATACAATAAACTTGTGCCAAACAAACACACATCAAAAAAACACAAACTTTCCAGAACAAGGCTCTTCGTAATATAGTTATACGTAATAGGGCGCATTCGGCTCTAGATTTTGCTATAAAACAAAAATTACAAGGAAATGGAGGAGATATAAGTAGTAATTAACTTTTTGAGTTGAAGTTTAGTTAAAGTAACTGAATCGGCAGCAATTTAAAATTTTATTCGAATTAATGGAAAGTGACGCGTAGACTAATTAAATAAGGCTTGTACATAAATGAATTTTTTATATTGTACCTCCTTTATTTTGGAAAAGCTACATAATATCGAGATTTATTAAATTTTGACTTACGTGTTTAAATTTTTCAAGTTACTTGATGATAAGCGAAGCAATAATAACAATAAACTTAAGAAATAATGAGTTATAATAGGGAACGGATTTTTAGGTTTTTACCTATTTTTAGTAGTGCTTATTAGGACATATTTGCCAATATACAAATGCGTTTCATAAAATTTCCTTTTGTTTGGCATCGATTTGGAAAAACCTTTTTTAACCTTTTCCGGGGTTTAACACTTTTTTTAACCTTTTTAAATATTTTTGCATTTTTTGACCTATTTTGCGATTTGCAGCTACTTAAGTCCTTTATATGAGGAAAAAATTTCTCAAATAGTAAGTAAAATAAGGAATCATTATATTTGGGTTTCTATAAATGAGACTACTGATACCACTAGGAGATTCGTGGCTAATACAATAATTGATGTTTTAAATGCATATCTAGAAGAAAGTAAAATAAAATTGTTAGTAAATGCAGCAGTTCTTGAAAAGAACGTTTTTTTGATGATTCCATAAAAACATTGGACAGCAATTTTAATCGCGATTTAATTTTGCTTTTTATATCAGATTCTGCATCATATATGGTAAAATCAAGTGCCGTCATGCTTAGCCCATGGACTACATAGATTATATGCAACAATTAGGAGCCTCTATCCAGACGTTGATCGTGTTATTACTCCGTTTAAAAAAATTTTTTCAAAAGCACCAGCAAGAATACAAATTCTTAAAGAAACTGAACCCGATTCACCACTCCCATCCCAATCTATTATAACACGCTGACGGACATTGTTAAGTGCAATAAAATATTATGCGCAGTATTTTGAAAAAATTGAAAATGCGTTGTGCCACTTACCAGAAGATGATTCTGCTGCCATTGCAACAGCAAAAAACATATTTTCAAATTTAGATTTTAAAAGTAAATTGAAAAATTATTTTGTATTTTTTTTTTGTATTACAATCACTCGCTTGGAAACTTCTGGGTTATATCTTCATGCTCAGATAGAGATTATTGAAGATGCTGATAATATATAAAATAACGTAAAAAATATTTTGAGATCTAGCCGACAAAAATTTCATTGTAAACTGCAATTTTAAATAATGTCACAAAATTTAAATTGATATTAAATCAAATTGTACAATCAAAACTGAAGCTTTATTTTGGTTGATTCGTGATACCTTTGGGTTTTTATAAGTTTTAATTTTAGGTTTTGTTTGTCATTTTTGAGTTAAATTTTGTTACGTTGTATCTTTAGTTAATTTAATTAATTTTTTTCAGCACGATTTAGTTAAATTTTGTTGTTTTATAAATTTATTGAAATAAAAATGTATACTTTGATTTTTACTGGTATAATTTTTGAAGTTTATTAGAACTTTTTTGGGGTCCTTCTTTCCAATTTAAAGCGACCTATTTAGGTGATGAATTGTATAGGATTTATAGTTATAAAATTAAGAAGTAATTAGTTATAAGTATAAGTTTTGTTTTTATTTTGGATTAATTATTTTTTTAATTTTTTTATTTATATTTTATTTTTTGTTTTGAACTGTACTTTTGAATAGTTTTTGAGTTTAATAAAAATTTTTATGTACGTACTTATTACATTTTCATAACAACAATAATAATAAAAAATTTAATAAAATCACGCATATTCACATACATTTAAATATACAAACAGTAAAATTATACAAATAAGAATTAATATTTTTTTGGTTTTTTAAATTTAATTTTTATATTTGTTTAAACTTCTTATTTATTTACTTACTTTTTAATTTTATGCTCTTTTCTTATTATATTTGTAATTCTTTTCAAACCTATTATAATTTTTGTTTATAGGTCAACAAATAAAATCAAATAAACCAGAGAAATTGTTTATTGTTGTGTACATTGCGATATTTAAAAAAACTATACGAAATAAAAAATTTATGAATAAAAAAAATTAAAAAAAAAATAATCATTTGATTTAATTGCAATAAACAAAAATATAGGAAAAAAATGAAAACAAACAAGCACACAGAAATATAAAACTAAAGTTAAAATACCAAAAAAAAATTATTATTTTTATTCAATCGAAAAAGGATAATATGAATAACAATCATGGGAATAACCTGGTTATAACATTTAAATAGAAACAAAAATAAAATAAAGTTGGATCAAAACAACTGGTTTGTAAAGTAGCATTTTAATAAAAAAACAAATGGAAAACGTTATCAAAGGAACGTGTTAAAGGCAGAAAAATGAATAAATTTTTCTATTTGAAAAAGTGACCCGCCGCTTTCTAAGTGGACGCTCTACCAACTCAGCTACAGAGGTGTGAAGAAATTGCCGACAAATTGGTCTAAGCGTCCGCCTTGAAAGAGGTGGATCACTGGTTCGAGTCCAGTTCGAGGAGAAAAATTTTTTAATTTTTTTGCCTTAAACTCGTTCCTTTCATTACGTCATCTATCTGTTCTGCAATAGTATGAAAAAATTGCCATTAGTTACTCTTATAAGAATTAATAATAAATTATAAAAAAATAAAAAACCTACACGTTGAATTTTAGTAATTAGTAAACGTTTGCAGTTGCGGAAATATAAGGTGCCGAAAATTTTAATTTTACAAATTTTGAGGGGCGATAACTTTATAACTTTAGAGAGGGTGGAAGTGGAAAATTATTTTCTTATAACGAATAAACTAACATCTAAAATCTGCTTAAATTTCAGAGTCCTTTGAGTTTCAGTTTAGAAGAAAAACGATATTAAAAATTAAAAAAAAATATAATAACAGTTAACTTTAAAAGTAATTTTTTTTAATATTCAATCAGACTGCGCCGCATAACAAAAATTCAAAAATTACTTTTCTGCGTTTGCAAAATTTAATATATACCTTATGGCTTTGTTACAATGAATGTCAAAAATAGCAATTTTAGTAGTTCAAGGTGTCATAACTTTTAGGAGAAAGGAAATATAAAAAAGTTGTCTTCAACAGAAAACAAGTTTCTATAGCAAGGATATATTAACATATTAAATTTCAGCTTTCTATCTCTAACGGTGTTGGATGTTTTGTAAATAGATCCACGGACATGCGAACGGACGGACAGATTAGAACTAATAAATACATTTTTTTTTTGAAAAGTGTTAAAATCAATAACAATCAAATTAATAAAAAAGAAAAAAAAAACACCTTAGACCACCATATAACTTATGTCAAGGAAAAACCATCATCAGTATATTTATAGTACTCGTTCTACTCCTCCTCCTCTTACTTTGTCCACTCAAATAAGAATTGTGTTTTATATACCCGATGTTAATTCAATTATCTGACAGCATGTTTATTATTATGTTTTTACATTTTATATCTATATTATTATAAAAACTGTTTTATATACTTGTAAAACATTATTATTAACGGCAAATGTAAAAGTAATATAAATAGTAAATGTATTGTACATGCGTACCAAAGTTTCCACGTTTTAAAATTTTCCTAAATGGAATTATATTCATATATAACTTCATACAGTTATTAAGTTCCGACTATAGAAAATATTATAAAATCTTAATTATTTATTTATAACAAATTTAACACTTATATATAATTCAATTAAATGTATTTAATATTTATATAATATTTATATTTTTTGATATGAAGCCTTATGTTAAAAATTCCAACTGGAGTGTATCACATTTAACAAAATTTTTGTTAATTAAATATAATAAATTAATTTAAGAGAATTTTATTTAAATTTTAAAACAATATTTAATAAAGTTGGATCAAACCAATGGTTCGTATTGTAGCACTTTTCCCTTCGACAAGTGAAAATACTGCTTTTAAATACAGTCTATCTATATCTATTTATTAAAATTATTATCACACTATTAAAATTATTTTCATTTATAAACGAAACTATTTCTAGCATTGCATATATTTAGGATGAACGCAGTCTTTGCAATAAAGAAAAAATAAATTTAAGGAAAGGTTAATATAATGCTCGATTTTAAGGCTTAATTATGTCAGTTATGAAAAGTAATTATGTTTTTTAATGGCATGGAATTTACCGTTAGCTTTCAGCGTTTTCACAAATTTGAAAAAGCTAGTGGTTTTGGAAATAAGGGATGCCAAATATTCACATTTTACAAATTTCTAGAGCTGATAACTTGAAACGGGGTGAAGATGGGAAAAATTTTTTTTCAAACGAAATAAGCTATATATCTAAGAGCTGCTAAAATTTTAGACGCCTGTAAAGTACGGTGTAGAAGAAAAACAATACGTATATAAAACATTTGAGAAAAAACGGGTTTTAGATAACGGTAAATTTTAACGGTCATTTTGTTTTTTTAAAGTTAAGAAATGGTATGCCGCAATAGAAGAAGGAAGCCACTATTTTTCTGCTTTTACAAATTTTGAAAAATGCTTATGGTTTCACTGCAATAAATTGTTAAGGAGATAGGTAAGGAGAGGGAGGGAGATAGGTAAAAGTTTTTTTTACGAAAATAAGTTTCTTCAAGGATGTAGAAGCTTTATAAATAGACACACGGATAGACGAACTTACGGAAGGACGGTCGGACGGACTTACGGGCGAGCGAACAGACGGACGGAAAACAGACGAACGGACGGACAGACAGACATTCGGACGGACGGACGGATAGAATGAAACTAACTTAACACATTTTTTTTTTAAATTTTTTTGGAAAAGTGCTAAAAATGTTTTTTAATTCGTGTATAATTAAATTAGCAATACAAAACATCTTATTTAATAAACTTTGTATATATGTATATACGTATATGTATATACGCATATATATTGAGTCACAGTAAATGTCGTGAAATTCCTACTATTCCTGCTGGCCTGGTACTTAATTTGAGAAAAAAAAGATATAAATCGATTATAAAAATATCACATAATACATTTGTGGTGAAAAAAATGTTCTGTCGCGAAATTTACGGTCACGACATTTACTGTTACTGTCAATTATTGCCATGACAGTAAATTTCGCGGCAGTAAATTTTAACATTACCAGGTCAGAAGAAATAATATAGGAAGTAAATTAATTATTTTAATTTTCTTTGTTGGGATTGGTTTAGAAGCTAAGGGTACTAAAAGGCAAATTTTTTTTGTGAATTTATGGAAAATAGACTATTACTTTGGCTGTATGGGACATTACGGTGTACAACGAATTTTTTAGCTCTCTTAGTTCAGATAGTACAACTGAACAAATTCTAAAAATGAAATTTTAGAAATTTTTTGGTTTTGTTTTTTAAATAACGGTATTTTTCAAGGTGATGTAATATTGCCACTTTTAGAAATTTTTAAATAGATTGCCAATTTTTCAAGCTTTCTGTCATACTTGTAACAATGCCAACCATACTTGTAACAATCTTAGTTACAGAGAAATTGCTTTTTCATGTGAAAGAAAATTCTTATATGACAATTTCTGTTCATAATTGTGCTTTTTGGTTTTTCTTTTATATCATATATTCAAAAAATTCAAAATAACCTTGCATATGAATATTAAAAATTTTTTTATATACATATGATTGTACATACAAAATCTATTTGAGACATAAGGGAAAGCACAAGCAGAAAAGATAAATTAACTAAGCAAAATTTTAAATTAGTATGTTTGCTTGTGGCTTTTTAGTGTGTGTGCTTCTTTTACCAAATTTGTTAAATAAAATTTAATTATTTTTTTTACAAATATACAGGGTGTCTCATAACAAATTGCACTGCTACATGCCATTGTATAGGTCCACATGAGTAGAAAAAATTTTTGTATGGAGACGTTGTTCACAGCTCAACAGGTTCGAAGTTACATGGGCTTAAAGTCCATTTCGACCGATTTTTTTACTTTTTGAAATTTTAAGTATAATTTCGCGAATGTTCAAGACAGGTGCACTGAGAAATATGATTAGGAAACCTCCGAGTAAAGGCTTTCTTATAAATATCCACATTAGTTATAATCTGTTTGGATTTCGGAATAACTTTAAAGCTCGAAAAATTTTAAGTTTTACCTTTTCATTTTTCTCCAGCAATATTTTAAAAATAAGATTATTTATAAATTTTCTATTTAGTTTACTTTCAACTCTTAAGAGCGAGTACAAAAAATTTGATAATATCAGAAATTGTAAGTGTTTTTATTACACAAAGATATTAATAAGTAAAAAATTTTAGCTCTATTTTTACAAATTTAAGGAAAAGTGTTACATACGTGCAAGTTTTGTATGTTACTTTTTAAGTACTAATTTTGTCTAAAGAAAATGAAACAAATAAAAAGAATTTATTTTATTCTTTTATTTAACCTTTTTTTACCAAACTCGGTGAAACCAAATCTTAAACTAAACTTTTTACTTTCTAAAATCTTATACTGCGGTTCTGACTTGTTCGACGCCGTACGTAGTTTCTAAAAATGATCCCCATTGCGCTCAATAAATCACTTTCTTGTAACTTTATACAAGATTGACCATAGAATTAAAGCCTGTAATCCAGAGGTTTCGAAACTTTTTTCTCTCGTAGATCACTTGTCGTGTTTTTCAATTTTTCTCACCTTCGTAGACCCCTAGCAGGTCTTCATGAACCCCTGCTTGTCTTATAGACTATTCTGGTTTAAAAAACCTAGTTTTCCGGTGTCCGTTGCAAATATTTATTTACATTAAATTGGTAGATCGAGCACTGCCTACACTTAAATTTATAATGGCAAATTTTTGATTAATAAAGTTTAATTAAACATTTAATGTTAATACAGTGAGTCATTTTTATTCAAAACAATAATTTATTGGTTTGTTATAAAAAATAAAAAACAAAATAAAAATGGGTCAAACCAATGGTTTGTATAGTAGCACTTTTCCCTTCAACAAAAGAAAATACTGTTTTTACTGACAATCTATGTCTCTGAATGTGAATCTATATGTATACCTACCACACTAAAATTAAAATTATTTTCGTTCATATGCAAAACTATGGCCAGGATTGCATATTTTTAGGATCAACGATTTATATAGTCTTTGAAATAAAGCCAAAATTAATTTAAAGAGGGGTTAACATAATGCTCGATTTTAAGCCAAAAATTAAAAAATGTCAATTTGTTCAACTTTATTTAAATTAAACAATAATATAAATTAAATTTTGGTTATGGTATATAAAATAACCTACCTATTGTATACACAATACGGTCGGTAAAAATGTAAAATATTGCAACTTTTTTAAATGTTGTAAGAGATTATAAATTTGTGATGAACTTTTTTTATAAGCAAGAAAGTTAAGTACAAGAAATTTATTTTAAATGCTGGTATAACCTTATTTGGTTTAGTGTAGCAGAATTATAAATGAGTAAGTTTTCTGTAGTAAACTGGGCTTAATATGTAGTTTATTTTACAACATAATATACAACTTTTGAAAATACTACAACGTTACATGAAAAATAGTACTTTGCCAACAGGGTCATTGAGTAAGGAGTAATTTTAGAGAATTAAATAGTAAGCTGATTAAGAGCTTAAAGGAAAATGTTTAACAAAATTTGAAACTTGAACATAGCACTGTAGAAACTAACATTTCGTATTTTAGTACTTTTACAAAAATTTTAGATATTTTTCATAAACAAATCAAAATACTTCGAAAACTGAACCAGGCGTCCATTTAACATTTCTTATCACATATAAGAAACTAATTGAACGTAAATATAATGTAAATAGAACAATGTTCATTTCGGTTCCATTTATATCCAACATTTATTTCTACGGTTAGTACAAGGACTTAAACGAATTCTTATACCAATCGTTTTCTTTGTTTTTGTTTTGTTTCATGCTAAGATTTAAAAATTATCTAAGCTTTATAAAAGAGAAGAATCATTTGCAAACTTTTTCCGCCTTTTTTAAGTTACTAAATAAAATTCAAAGTTTTTTTCCTGAGTCTTTCTATATCTTTTTTTATCAGATAAGCGCTTTAAAATTAAGCATTGATTCATGATTTATTTAGTTTTCAATTTCATAATTATTATGAGTTAATTCTAATGCTGCACAATTCATACAATTACTGACATTAACTTTTCTATAAACATAAAACTATCGAACTTTTTCTTAATTATCAAAAAATTTACGTTTAAACACAAATAATCGATCAATCACAAATTCTAAGGTTTTTGAAAATTTTAATTTATCCTGCTGACCTTGCACATAACACAATTCAAACAAACATGGGATTTTGTTACAAAAAATTTTTTGTGTTGCAAATAAAGGTTTTTGATACATTTAATTACATTAAAATGTAGAGTTTTGATTCCACAACGACTTTTTAATCTGTTTTTTTAGTGAAAAAGCAACATGTTTATGATAGCAAAGTGTGTATTTTCACAAGAGGAATAAAACCTTATGATTAGTTTAATTTTTTAAAATTTTGCAAATATATAAGTTTTGATTCTTCTATCATCATATGAAGAATTTTCCATTAAGTTAATATTATTAGTGTAATAGGCACAATAGATATATATATATTCTTGTGATTGTGTGTTTTAAATAGTAGATTACATGTAGTAACTGAATGTAAA